TGCTAGACGAGTCCTGGACAGACCTCAGCATACACCCCGGCTCGAGAGCCCCAAAAGCGGGTGATGCCTGGCCGTACAGTCCACTAGGAGAGCACGCAGCGGATCCTCACCATGTACCGCCGGTCCGAACTTCCAACCAAGCTTGGGCCAAGACGCTTTACTACTACTACCACTACTACTACTACTACTACTGCTACTACTACTACTACGACTACTACCACTACTACTACTACTACTACTACTACTACTACTACTACTACGACTACTGCTACAACAACAACAACTACTACCACCACTACTACTACTACTACTACTACTACTACTACTACTACTACTACTACTAGTTCCTGCATGAACCTCAAGGATAACTTTGCAAAATACGCACGAATTGCAAAAACATCGTCCAAACCATACACGTACGAACCTTCGAAAACACTGGCAGGCGTGTCACTTTTGTTACTACAAGAGTGTGCTCGTGCTTTCAAATCAAGAAAAAAGACACATCCGTAAAACGCATTCATCACCAAGAATGCTGGTATTCGTGGGATAAATGCACGATTTGGCATGCAAAATCCACGGGGCCACCAGCGGTGGCGTGACTTTGTTCATGCTGATGATTTGGTTGAAGAAGAAACTGATGGCACTGGTGGTATGATATTGATGACGACAGAGGCGTTGATGACGGTGATCCTATTGATGGTGACGATAATGACGGTGTGGGAACTAGGTGTGGCGGTCTAGATTACGGTGGTGATGATGATGAAGATCATGAGATGATGGTGTTGACTCTGTGGTGATGGTACTGATGGTGATGAAGGTCGTGAGGATGATGCTGATGATGACGACAGCGATGATGATGGCGATTGTGATGATGCTAATGCTGACTGTGATGATACTGATCGTATGATGATGGTGCTGGTGTCGATGATTTCTGGCAGCATCCGTACAGTGTATCACAGTCAAACTCAGCAGAGCTTGCTTCGCGTGACCATGAAAGCCCGGATGTGGCAGGCCTTGCTCGTGTTCTTGCGAGAGCCGGATCTCGTCATGGTGCCTTGCCCCTGTTCAGATGCACCTTCGCGGATGTTGAAACCTAGAGACATCCCATAGAAATCCATGAAGTCCCGAAAACACCCGGACCGAATGGAGACCCACAGAGCATTCAAACCCCGACTGACACCCCGGACCTTGCTTATCGGCACCCCTAAAACCCTAAACCCAAAATCCTAAACCCTCAACCCAAAACCCTAAAACCTTAAAGCCCTAAACCCTATACCCTAAACCCAAAACCCCACACCCTAAACCCACAAACCTACACCCTACACCCTAAACCCAAAACCCTTAAACCCTTAAGGGCTTCGGTGAAGCCGGGACCCAAAACCCTACAACCCTTAAGGGCTTCAGTGAAGCCGGGACCCACAACCCTACAACCCTTAAGGGCTTCAGTGAAGCCGGGACCCACAACCCTAAAACCCTTAAGGGCTTCAGTGAAGCCGGGACCCACAACCCTACAACCCTTAAGGGCTTCAGTGAAGCCGGGACCCACAACCCTACAACCCTTAAGGGCTTCAGTGAAGCCGGGACCCAAAACCCTACAACCCTTAAGGGCTGCATTGAAGCCGGGACTTAAGATCCAACCCGAGGTTCGTCTTGGAGGTCCGGGCCTTGGCGCTGTGGAGGTCCTCTGCTTGACCCAGAGAGCCCAACACCCTTTAAATAAGGAACATACCTTAAATTATAGGGGCCCTTAAAAGGGATCTATAAGGGTTTATAGGGTTTAGGGTTTAGGAATATACCTTAAAACATAGGGGCCCTAATATGATGATTTATAAGGTATATTCCTCAATTAAGGG